AATATTTTTCTTTTATTTCACACATTCTATTTATTTTTTAAAAATTTGTGTTTTAAGTTTCTTGTTTTTTTATTTTAGTTTTTGTCTTTTTTGTTGGGTTATTTTATTTATTAGAAACTGTTGTTAATTTGTATTCTTTTTTTATTTTTCATTTTCTTTGTTTTTCAACAAATAAACATTCTAATTTTTTTTTAAATTTTGCCCCCCCCCCCCCTATAGAATTGTGTAACGACGCCCATGCCTGCTATCCCACTATCGCGTTAGAGGTGTAACCATGTTTTTAAACGTCCAATTATGCAGATGAACAGACGAGTCTCAGGCTGACCAGAGTTGGTTTAACATGGGTGCTATTTGGTTTTTGGTATCACAATTTATTTTATAGAGAAAGTAAAAGTTGGAAAGGCTTTTGGTAGGTAGAGAGGAAGTAAACGTCAAACCACGTCGGACGGCTTCGAGAATTTCGCAGTAATGTTTACCTGCCAGTGTCGTTTCATAGAATAAATAATTTTAAATTGTTATCGGCGGAACCGGACAATCGCATGTATTTATGGACTATAAATAAATATTAAACATGTATTATAATATTCAAATCATAATTTTACAAAATTTCAATAGCTATTTACAATTTATTAAACTATTTACTTGAAATTGTTATTAACATCTCTTAAATAATTTTGTACGCCAATGTATAGCGTCCACTTCGGTGAGATCCGCGGCAAACCTGTCAATCTATGTGTATAAAGTGGGAGAACTGGCAAAAGCCTTTCCAACTTTTACTTGTGTTCTAATTCAACTTTCACAATAACTCAATTCAATTGATACAATAACTCTAACTGATAACATTAACATGTAACGTCTATCATAAAACTGAACTCTGACGTCAGGTCGTTGACTTATAGCTTGCTTGACCTTCTCGAAGTGTCGTCTAGAATATTCTTGACGGGTAATGACATTTCTGGACATTTCTGGAATATTCTATCTTCTTTTACTTGTACTTTTACTTATGACGACCGCAGCACACTGTTGAGCGATGAGTAACATTCCACTTCTTTTTCTATCTGTACGTTTCCTATGATAGCCGCAGGCTACTGCAGGGTGCTGCATAACACTATTATATTTGCTGCGTTTGAGAATCCACATCGGATGCATTTTTTACATCTCGAGCGTTTTTTTATCCACATCGGACACATCTATCCCATTACATTTACGTATACTGAATCACGTGATCAAAGATTGTTTACATCTCAGATGCATCGGAGGTGGATTCTCAAACGCGGCAATTATTATTAGAACAGAAGTAAAAGTTGGAAATGCTTTTGCCAGTTCTCCCACTTTATACACATAAATTGACAGGTTGTCAGCGGATCTCACCGAAGTGGACACGATACATTGGCGTACAAAATTATTTTATAGATGTTAATAACAATTTCGAGTAAATAGTTTAATAAATTGTGAATAGCTATTGAAATTTTGTAAAATTATAATTTGAATATTATAATACATGTTTAATAATTATTTATAATCCATAAATACATGCTATTGTCCGGTTCCGCCGATAAAAATTTAAAATTACTTATTCTATGAAACGACACTGGCAGGTAAACATTACTGTGAAATTCTCGGAGCCGCCCGACGTGGTTTGACGTTTACCCCCTCTCTACCTACCAAAAGACTTTTCAACTTTTACTTTCTCTATAGTAGGTATTTATTTATATTACTCGCACTCTCACAATATTAAAGTTGATACGACACTGACTCCTGCTGTCTCTTGATATCGGCCGGCTCTAAGTATTTTTTGTTTCTTATGGAAATTTTTTTTATAATTTCCTTAAATAGTTTTTTTAATTTTAATTTTTTTTTTTTTTTTTAATTTTAATAGAATTTAGTGTGAAATTTTAGTTGGTATTATCAGGTTTTTTCCCACTGGTTTTTATAAATTTATTGTGACGTTCATTCAATCTTATTGTAGCTCAGCATTTTTTCTTTTTTTTGGTGGTAAATAAAAGGTATTTTTTGTTTGTATAGATACTTTAAGTTATTATATTTATGTGCGTTTGTTTGATCATAATTTTTTGGTGTAAATGTCAATTTTTATTTCTTTATAGCGTTTTTGGATTTTGAGATCCTACAGCGTCCTTTTTCTTTCCTTCTTTCTGTGGAACATATTACCCATTTTTGTTTATTGTAGTGAATCGATTCATTATACTCGTAATAATTGTGTTCGATAGTTTTGCCTTTGTAAGTCAATTTTCGTAATTTCTCATGGTGTTGCCAAATTTTTATTATGAATTTTTCTTGAATTTGATCACTGAATTTGATTTTCATTTGTTTTATTAATCAAGGTACCTAATAAACGTTATTTAAAATTTTAGAATTTTTGATCTTCTATCGACGCTTGGTAGGTAGTTATAATTGATTATTAATTGAACTTTAGTTAAATACTTTTTTACTAATATATGTTATTTTTGTTTTTGTATTATCGAATTAGTTTTAATGCTGTTTTTCACCATTTTATGTTTTACTAATATGTTGTCAAGTTATAAATATAATTTTGGATTTTGTAATCTTGTTTATTTTTACATATTCAATAATCTCAGATGTACTATAAGATACTAATACATAGAAGCGACGGTAACAAGTAGCACCAGACACAAAAGTATTTTAAACCGGCACTGAGACCAACAATAAATAAATTCTGCTTGTATATTTAAGAACTGTTTTATTTAGTTTTAGAATTGTTTCATTTTATTTTAAAATTGTTTTATTTTATTTTATTTTAGAATTCGTTTTTTTTTTTTGTATATACTCCAATGTTATATGGTCAGTAACCAACCTCTGTTTATGGTTGTTAAGGGAGTCATAACGGGCTAGACCGTTAAAAATTTTAACCGATCACTTAATACCCAATAAACACAGTTTATCGGCACCGTAACTGGGCCGAAGGAGGCTTGCCGGATGCTGGACTCGGCCCGATATACGGGTGCAGCTTCGGCATATAGGTAAGGCATGTCCACCCAGCCGAATGTCGGCAGCCCACTAAATTGTAACCGCGTTCATATAACTATATATAATTCGGTCCGTAAGGATGCCTCCCATGCCCGGCTAGCTAAATATTCACCGCATTCGGCCCGTAAGGATGCCTCTCATGTCTGGAACGCCAAATATGGACCATATGCGGTTTCTACTTCTAAATTACGTCAAATATTATGGTCCTCCCGGCTCAGAAGAAACGCCTACAACGGCAATCCGAGTACTCGGCTTCCCGTACATGCCTGTGTCAGGCCGAGCGAATACCGATACTTGTGGTTTACTGGGTAGAACCATTACAACAAAATAATTATTTTTTATTAACAACAGTTACGACTAAACTGTCAGTTGCAACTGAACTGTCGTTATTTTAAGTCACATTCTGAAACGTAATGATGGTGTCAAATGATAAAATTTTACTTGATTTTAGGTTTTAAAATGTAATAAATTGCAGTATATCATAAAATGTTTTACGGTACACGCCCGTTACCTGATCTCTACGTGCTCGCACGGTCATATATAACGTGTTCGCAAGACTTGCACATTAACGACCGTGCTCGTATGTAAAGATCTAGGTAATGGACTTATAACGTAAACTACTATTAAAGTAACTATTTGCATTTTTTGAATTAATTGAATGCCATTTATTTCTATTAACTTTCTAGCAAAATCTGAGCAGTTTTTATTTGTAAGATCTAACCTATAACTACGTATGTACTTCTAGTCGATAATTGGCGAAGAAAAAATTATACAAAAAGTGCTTTTGTAACTAGTGCTTGTTTAAGTTTAATGATAAATAAATACCTACATTTCAAATTCTTTCCTTTCTAGAGTTTGAGTTCTTTGAGCAATTTTGATATAAATATATCGCTAAAACAAAACCTGTACTTTCTATTGCAGTAAGACGAGTGCCGCCCCAATTTTCAATTCCACCGCCTACCATGAGCGAAGTAAAATTAGGAGACGATTTAAATTTGACATGTGTAGCCGTAGGATCACCAATGCCGTTCGTCAAATGGCGCAAAGGGTTGACTCAAGAACTGACACCCGAAGATAAGTTGCCAGTAGGCAAAAATACCTTGGAACTCACCAATATCCAAGAGTCTGCCAATTACACCTGTATAGCCGCTAGCGCCCTAGGTGTAATCGAGGCCTTAGCGCAAGTTAAAGTGCAATGTAAGTATATTTTATAAATTATTATACCCTAATATTCAGGCAACACGCATTTCACATGTATTTTGTGTTGCAAACCTCAGTTTATTATGTTATTTTTAGAGGTAATAATTGCCTGTTTGGATTCTTTTCCCTTGGTAGCCTTGACAATTTTGTCATCCCTTCATTACACCGGTACACAAAAAAAAGTTCTTTATGTATCTTTATGTAGTTCGACCCGCGTAATCCGTATAAAGTCAAATTTTCGAGAAAACTTTGAAAAATTGCCGATTTTCATCATTTTTTTCGGTTTTTCAAAGTTTTCTCGAAAATTTGACGGTGTATGGGTCCTCAGATTCGGATTCAGCGGGTCAAAAGTACTGACAACTTTTTTTTGTGTGCCGAGTGCCGGTGATTATTAATGAACTTTCAACTGTAACATTGGTAACAAATTATTTTATCTAGCTATATTTAATTATTCTGGTACATACATATTCTCTATTCCCTATATAATGTGGGAAAATATCATAGTGGTTATGCAATATCAAGTAGAAAGAACTGTTGGTGATATAACTGAATGCCACGCCACATTTATTTCCCAACTCTAACTTGTATTTAAAATGCATTCGAAATATACAATCGATTTATTATTTCGATTGTATCGAAATTAGTGCGTTGAGTAATGTGTACTTTGTTTGTTTAACACCGAACCACGTCTAATTCGAATATCTCTTACTCTCTCACTTTGACATAAAATTTCGAAACATCGATGTAAGTTCCATGTCGATGGTTTGTTTTTTGTTTTTTTCTCAATTCCATCATCCAACTTGTTGACATACAAAAGTAGTGTAACAAATTTTAAAAAATGAATGAAATTAACAAAGAAAACATTGTAATGAAAATTGGAAAAGTGCAAATATGTTTACATTATCGCTGAAAGTTTCTATTGTTCGTATAAAACTTACTGGGTGTGTGTAATATAAGTGTTATTTTTGTGTAAAATAGTTTCGACAGTCTTAAGAAATTACCATCATGATATTTATTTTCATCTTTATTTCAATGCCCTTCATTTCTGCTTTAAGTAAGTAACTTTATTTAGTTTTACTTTTCGAAAAGTTAAATAATTTTCACTTTTCGAGCCTTTAGGTTTATTTCGAGAGAAACTTTTATTTTTGATAAATTTATCTCTTGAGCCGAACACAAGTCGCAGATCATTGACATCAGTTGACAATAAAAATAGAAAACTGGAAAATGTCTTCTAGTCACTTTGTATTTTCACTAAAGCTACTGACAAGTCAGTGTTGTAACTTTGTTTTTTTTTGTTAAATGTTGTGTCAAGCAAGAATTTAGGTGCTTGCCTGGAGTACCAGTTTCATTTTACATGTTTGAAACACCTACACACATTCTTATTCTTGACTGCAATAGGTATAATTAATGTCAGTAAAGAGTACCTACCTAACTAGTCTAAATTTATAACTTGCAACTGGTTGTTCAACTGAAAGGGCCGATATTAAATACTTTAAATACTTAAAAATTAACCAGCTTAAAATTGTAATAAGTATGATGATTTGAGTCAGAAACTTAACTGGATTGGATCTTGTTATTTATTTTTAAATATTGTATAGTATTGATAAAAAATGATTAGCTGATGTTTTCTGTTTGTTGGCTTTACAGATTAACACTTGTTTTTCATGTACTTATTCAAATTTAAAAATAAATTGAAACATCAACATGATATGAAATATACCTACTTATAGAAAGATATGAAGTTAATTTTTACATTTATACATTTATCGTTTGCATAAATATTCATAATTTACAAACTATAAAGTAAATAAAGTACTTAACCTTTATTATTATCTACAAAAGAGCACATCTACTGAAATTTATAAAATACTTAATATACATTAAAATTATATTATTTCTTGAAATTAAATTCTGATTCACATATGAATATTTTGAGGAAATATTTGCAGATACTGTAATTACTTAATAGTCAAGGGTAATATAATGAGACCTTGCTAAATAGTTGACTATTTTTGTTGTTTCTAAATTTTGATTGTTTTTGATATCAATTTGTCAAGACATAATTTTGTTATTCATAATCTGAATGGAGTCCAAGAGCTTTAGCTCGAGGACTCTATGTTCTTTGATTAAGTATGTTGAGACAAATTGCAAAATACATGATAAATTGAGTAACAATAGAAATAGGCGCCAATTTATTAAGGTCAAGTTATATTTCATGAAATTATTTCTAGAGCCCTAAATAGTAGCCGTTATTAAACATTATACCTATAATCAAGTATGCTAGTTGCTGTCAACATAGGTGAATATCAAGCACCAGGCATGGATAGTTTAAAATAGAAATAGTGAAAATAGTCGATTTATATGGTTATGATTGGTTTTAACAATAACATAAATTGCGATGTGATTGGTTAAAATGTCAAAGTTCAAAGTTCACAAGCATGGGAAATAATCATTACTAAACAGACAAAATATGTAATATTTGGTTAATTGTCAAGAACAGTCTCAAGGGGTGTTCAAAATGGGGGATAGAGGGAGTAATGTCTTTTCCCAGAAATAAGATTAATACTTTTTTAAATATACCTATTTAAGAATAAATTAAAAGGAAACTTCCTACTTAAGTATCTGGTTAAATTGCACATATCTAATTGATATTTTAAATTTACAGATTGTTTATATCTGTTGTGTACTGTATACAAATGAATAAAACAAATACAAAAAACATACCTTAAATGTATATTTTAGACTTCCATTGTTTAGCCTCTCAATTCAATAACGTAATGTTTAAACTCTAAAATTGCCTGTTTTGTCGAAGGGTATACAAATTCACAATTTGAATTGACAACAATTTTTAATAAATATTAGTTTTCATTTAATATGATTAATTATAATTTTGATTATAAGTATGCTTATAAATATTTACAAACCACTTTGTTTTTGGTAGATTTTCCAATAATAGGAATATATCAAAAACACAAACAAAAATTACACTGTAACTTTATTTTTCAGCTACATTTTGATTTTTCCATCTTTATTTTTAATTTAAAAAACAAGTGGTACTTAGTCAAAGATCTGGTCTTAGGAAGTTCCACCATCGGTTCTAACCCCACCTTTTACTATAATTAAACATATTTAAGATAAACAATAATGCCATGGCTGTGTTCACCATCATCAAACAGTTTAGGAACCATACATTTATATGCTTTGTGTAAACAGTTCTGATGATGGTGAATGAACAATGAACAGTTCAAATTTTAAATATGATATGTTTATAAATAGTCATAACATAAACTCCTAAATATTGTATTGTTCATGTTTATACTTTAAAAAAATATAGAAATATAGGAAACCATTTCAAAAAAGCTGTTTCAAGTGTGCCTGTTCACTGTCACCAATTGGTAATTGTACATGCAACTGTTTGATGATGCTGAATATGTCCATCAACTAATAAATCATCAATAGTTTGACCTGACACACCTTTACTACAAATAATTATTTTGTTTACTTTAGTACTCATTTGCCCTTTAATTCAATAAAGTACTATTTGAACATACATCATATAAGGAACTAAAAAACAGGTTGCTAATAGTTTTCTTGGCCCTATTACCAATTTTACAGTTTTAAACAGATGAGTCCACATAGATAATTATCCCATATCATGGGCTTACAGCCAAAAGTGACCAAGTCAAATTTTAGCAATTTTGGGTTAACATGTGCAAGTCAATTTTATATAGTTATCGAACATCTGGAAAAAATGACGAAGTAAAACTGTAGCAAATAGAGGTACTAAAATGCATAATATTATTATATCCAAGTCCTACCATGTAAGTTCTGTACCAGAATAAATGACCAAGTCGACTTAATACTCATAGCTAACACCAAAAAGTGACTATTATGTTTTAGTCACTTTTTCAATAGGCACAGTCATGTATTAAACATGTTTGGGTACTTTGTGTATAAATCATGGACCAGTTGATAAAGCATTTTCTGGGGTAAATGAAACAGGAATATTTATTATCAGTGACAAACGTAGTAAAAGTTAACCAGCTAATAAAACCAAACCTGATATAATTGCTGCAATCACTGCTCACATAAAAAGTTTTTGTACTATGTCCTCCCATTATTGTAGGGCATCTAGTAAAAGAGTATCTGGATCCTAATTTATCAATTACAAAAATGTATGCATTATATGCTGAAGAGTGTAAAAACGCAAATAAAGAATTTGTATCCCAAATACCTTTCCGTCGAGTATTTTGTCAAAACTTCAACCTATCATTTTTTAAGCCCAAAAAGGATCCGTATTTGATGTGTGAAAACTAGTTGCTGAGTTAGAAGAAAATTACCAATCTAATATTAAAAGAAAAGAAGAAGCAAATGCAGCAAAAAAATCAGACAAAGAACTAGGCAGAGACTAATAATAGTTTTGTAAGTATCACATTTGATTTACAAAGCGTTCTGTAAATACCGTCTTCAGATGTCTCACAAATGTATTACAGCAGGAAGTTATGTGCATATAATCCGAGATACAATCTGACCATTTAGGAGGCAACTTCTCAGAAAGCCCACTGCTATACTTGGACCGAAATTAATGGTCAGAGAGGCAGTTGCGAAATAGGCACATGTTTGCTTCGTTGGATTTATAGTTTACCAGAAAATATTACTGAAATAAGTTTGTTCTCAGATACCTGTAGAGGACAGAACCGCAATCATTTTATTGCAGCTTTATTTATATTTATAGCACAAAACAGCAGTCTAAATATTATTCAGTATAGTCATTCATACATGGAGGTAGACTTCATGCATAGTGCTATCGAAAATGCCAAAAGAAATGTGCCAGTATACACTATGCATGATTGATTAAATATTTTTTGACTGGCACGCTCCAATCGTGGTCGAAATAAAAGAAGTCAGCAGTACAACGTAAACGAATTAAAATACAATGACTTCTTCGACTAGTGATCCAATCTTTCTTATAGTCCAAGAGCTAGTAACACAAATTTCATTAAGTGTTTGATGCACTTTGAAATTTTGTAATTTGAAATCATTTGGATGGAAAAGAAGATATACCTGTGTTGGCTAGACCCACCCCAGGACACCAGGTACTGCGCATAATAGAAAGGGGTTGTAAAATATGACCCAAAAAAAGTGTTTGATTCAGAGGCCAACAAACAACAATTGAAAGTTTAGGTAATTCTAAAAATACTAGTAATTTAGGCAGACACTTTTGAGAGGGTTTATAATGAATAAATCAACCCCAATGATTTGAAGTGTTTGATTGACGCGTCTTAATTAAATATAAAAAAAATTAATTTCAAAAAGGCAGACACTTTTTCCGGGGTTTAATTGCCGGCCAACATAAAAAAGTCTTATTTACTATAGAAAGAGGTAGGCTGCGTATGGCTGTAGGTGTGAGTGAGAGCGCTGATCACAGCTGTTACTAGTCTTTCTCTACGCTCCCATTGGCTATTGGTCACGTGTCTTTTCACAGCTGTATATTTTAAATTCATATTTCTCAAGATTAAAAATTAATACAATTAAGTAATAATGATACTTTTATAGTTTTTAAATCATATATTAATGTGATTCCATTAAATTACAATGTAGGTATCATTTGACATGATAAAATTTTGTTTCCAATTTATTTTTGTTTAATTAAAAAGTAATAATTCGTAAATATTTGTAATAAATTGTTATATATTATTATAAGCGATTCCAAACTTGTGCTCGGTGGCGCATAGCGTACAGTGGTCAAAATTTGGATAGCAAGTTGGTGGTTCGAGCCCCAAAACATTTAGTTTTTTTTTTTCTTAAAAAAAGGAAAAATATTGTTTTATTATTTCACAGTCTTGGTAATTTAAAATGTTTAGTTTTTAAAAAGTATATACTTATTCAATGTATAGTGGCGCATAACGAGGTTCATTCAAGTTCAGCTAATTTTAAAAATGCAAGCTACCAGTGGAGACTTCGTTTATTTAAATTCAAAAAGATAAACAAATAGGAAATACATTTTTTTCAATAAGTACAAGGTGTCTAATTAAGGACTCTTAGCATCTGTATCTCAGCCTCTTTATGTGACCCGATTTCTTATGTCATTAGTGTCAATTTTATTTTGTCAAGTTGGTTGCACTTCCCTATTGAGATGAACGACCGATGCAGCTGAAGAAAGACTGTAGTAACGGCGGTAATCAGCGCTCTCACTCACACCTACAGCCATACGCAGCCTATCTCTTTCTATAGTAAATATGACTTATTTTTATGTTGATCGGCAATTAAACCCCGGAAAAAGTGTCTTGCCTTTTTGGAATTATTTTTTTTTATTTAATTAAGACGCTATTAAAATTTCAGAGTGAATCAAACACTTCAAATCATATTTTTAAAAAATCAACTTTGGGGTTGATTTATTAATTATAAACCCTCTCAAAAGTGTACAATATTGTAAGCTATAAACCGCATCTTCCTAGCTCAAACGGTTGCCGAGATATTTAACAAAAAAAAACCCTGATTTTTCTGGTAAACTTCCCCAAAATTCGATCTAGAATCTTATTATCTGCCCCTATGAGTTCATCCTTGATTTTTTTGCGCACGAATCTTATATGAATGAGTACTAATATGTCTCATTTTTTTTATTTAATTGTATTTTTTTTTTATTTACATGTTAGGGGTCCCTAATTATTATTATTAAATATATTTTGATAACAGAAAATATAAATCGCATTCGTATTTGGTGAGTGTGGAGACCTTTTTCTTTTTAAAAATTTGAAAATTTGAGCTATCGTGATATTTGTACATTCCAAAACTGTGTTTTTGTGTGTAGATTCCGAAAATGTATACATGTATGGGGAACCCAGTGCCATTAGATAATAAAATTCCCTGTAATTTAAGTTATTAATTTAAATAACAGATGGGATAATTATCACATGAATGTATCTGTTTAAAGATGGAAACTTAATAATGTAACGATTGTTTGATTTAAAAATGGTTTATTTATTTAAAACTGTTTATTTATAATGTACTAATTAATTTATTTATATTTAAACTATATTTATATTTCACAGTTCTAATTTATTTTACAATTCACTTTTACTTGATAATATTGTTATTAGAACTTAAATTTCTATCGACGAAGTCGCGCTATTTATATACTAAAATCCAATCCTGACTAGAAGTTATGGAAATTCTTCCTACATGCGTCCGACTGTGAAAAAAATACATTGAGCTCGTCGATCGCCAACGGGCCATACTTAACGGCGCGGTGAAGGTATATAAAGAACAGGGTCGGTTTCAAACCATCGCACGACAATAATGCAACCAAACAAAAAATTGGCAACCTATGTTTTTTGGTTTCCTATTTGAGGTATAATAATACTTGATTTATTTAAATAATAAATGAGGGAAGTAACTAAATAAAACAAAATTACCTTAATTAAACTTTTTTTTTAATAGAGGGGTATAGTATGAGTATATTGATTAGCAACCTAGTTGCGATTTATTGGCTTTAAATTATCTTTTATGTTAAATGAATTTAATGAATCAAGCCAGTGTTGATAATGGTAAATTCATTACAATGGTTGTCAGTCAGTTAGAGCTTTATTACTCAGTTTATTACATAACAATTATTTTAATGATCAATTATTTATTAAATTTACAGCTGATTTTACAATCGTACATTAAAGTAAAAATGTGCTTTTCAAGCTAAATCAATCTGACATGTAGTATTAATTTTAGTGTTTCTTAGAAGACTGGTTTTGAATGTTGGCAATTTTTAGGAATTATGATCTGTATTAAACCAAATGGAAGTTTTTTGGGCGAGTATAATATTTAGCAATATTTCCTTAATTTTGCAAATGTGATTACTCCTCAACCTATATGGTTAATAAAGTCATATTTAACATTTAACCCACTCCAGGTTTATAGGAAATCGTTCATCGATTTGTGTTTCTTACAGCTCTTCCCGGACCTCCTACGAATGTCAAAGTGTCTGAAATCACAGCCACGTCTGTCAGACTGACTTGGTCCTACAATGGTCCAGAAGATTTGCAATATTATGTTATACAGTTTAAGCCGAAATACGCGAATCAGGCTTACAGCGAAATTAGCGGCATCATCACCATGTACTATTCTGTGAGGAATTTGAGTCCCTATACAGAATACGAGATGTACGTGATCGCAGTGAATAACATTGGAAGGGGCCCACCGAGTGCGCCTGCGGTCGTCACTACAGGAGAAACAGGTAAAATTATGTTTATAAATTATATACAAAAAATACTATGAATCAGATGCTAAAATCTATTCATGTAACCAGTTACGAAATGGTTTATTTTATATAACGAGTCAATCTTTGGTCGAGCAGAGTGAGGTTCCACATAATGAACGACGGCGTTTCGTAACGTATTACATACAATATTTGTTTCTAATTTTGACTAGATTATTTATAATATTGTAATAAAGATACTAATATCTATGCAACCAATATTACTTTCGTGCATTATTAGTTGCATCTTCATTCATTTCAGTGGCATATTTAGAAAAATATAAAATAATATATGTAATTTATTAGGGTATTTATCTTTGCTTGTTAAAGTTATTTAGTTTTCAAGAAAGTGGGTTAATTTGTTTGGTATTGTGTTTTGATTATTTTAAGAAGATTTAGAATGGAAACTAGGACTGAAAGAATTTTTACTAGGTTGTAAGTTCACTTACAAAATCTATTTTTACATAGCCAACCTTCCTTTCTTCTTTGCTTCAATAAAAATGTATATATTTATTTTAAAACCAGAAAAGGTGTATTTTTATTTTTCTTTTCGCAACTAGTGATATAATGAATTATTCGGAACCATGTATATAATGTTCAATTTTATGAAACAAATTACATAAAGTAGATCATTTTGACACGAAAAAGTCACTTTATATGTCAAAATTAGAAAAAGTATTTTATGAGCCTTATTTGAAGATACCAAGAAATATTTTTAGTAAGAACTGTTGAATTTTAGCAGTGCTTAGAAGATTAAGTTTTAGATAGAAAGAAAGATCCTCTTGTCTTGTCAAATTATCCATATTAGGAGAGGAATGCCACAAGGCTCAGTACTTGGACCACTTCTCTTTCCGATTTACATAAATGATATATTCAATTTTTTGTAAACCAGTTTACCAAGATATGCAAAATATTTACAGAAGATTATAAAAAATATCAAGGGTTATTTAGTGCTTTGTTTTTCTTTATAATTCTAGGTATAAATAAAATTTATATGTTTTAGTATAAAATTAAATCCCAGAAATTTTTAGAGTATGGACTAACAAATTCAATTTAACTAATATTTTGTACATCTACATTGTTTATAACATGATCTCTTTTGCTTGTATTATATTTTTGCAGGAATATTTTGGTGTTTTTACTTAAACTTTTACTTATGTTTTCATGCCTACAATTTTTTAAACATTTACTTTATGGACATGGATGCTAACTAAAGTAAGTATTGAAATAGCTTCGTGCATAATAATATATCACATATATCTTAATTTGGTCTAAGTCCTTATAGAATATAAACAACTTTAAACTAATCATCAGAACAAAACAAGGTTAAAATCCTTTTTGTGGAAAATGAACTAAAAAGTGTATAACTTAAATGTATATATTTATTTGCTACATCATACCTGTATACCTTTATACAAGGTGAATGCGTAAAATTACATTCTTTATCTATGCTATCGTAGTTTTAAATAATGGTTTATTTCTGTATGCCATTTAGCCGTTTTTAGGTCGAACCTAGACATTTTTTCACAGAATCAGATGCCCCTAAGACCCCATATTTTCGAACTTATCCTAACCTAAGATAGATTTGAAAGGAGTTGGACAGTATTTGTCTTGTCCACTGCGAGCTTTTCAGATCTATTGTGTGACTCCCGTTATTTAGAGTGTGTCGTCTAGCTTGGTCTCTTTTTATTAGACTTAATTGCTTTTGAAGTGGCTCCCACATGTAGTTACATGCTTCTGGCTTTTCTTCACCTAGTGTTATAAACCTCAATCTAGTAAGGCCTTTACAGAACCTGCACAATGTTACCTTTTCTGCTGGATTGATTACACTCATGTGGCTTCTTAGGCAACATTTTGGGGTAAAAATACCTACTGTTATCCTAACCATTTGTCATTTTTGATCCAACTTGGCCAAAGGTTCCATAATGAACTCTTTGGCCTGTCTTAATCCTGGATAGTTGTTCCACCATTCCTGCGAGACTTTTTGCATCCATTGTTTGACGGATTCTTTGCACAATACCTTAGCAACTGCACAGAAGGGTTCGAGGACTGTTGCCTTATTTGAGCCTTCTCTAGTTCGTCGGCTTTTTCATTGCCCTGATATCGTTCGTGGCCTGATACCCAAGCTAAGATCACTTTGTTTTGACTATTTAGCTCTCTCAGGTCTTCTAAGCAGTCTTTCACTAGTTGTGATTTGATTTCTGGTGAGATAATTGCCTTTAGAGCTGCTTGGATTATCAGACGAGATGTCAAGAGTTTTGCCTCATAGTTCCTGATTTATTATATATCTTGTACAATGTTTTATGGCTATTAGTTCGGCCTGGAACACCTTTGAGTATTCTCTTGGACTTCGTAGAAATCGTTGTTTCTGAACTGTCTGTATACCACGAGTTTAGCATGTATGGGAGATCCCTGTTTCCAGGATTCTAAAATTTCTTTCAAATTTGTATGTGGTTATGGCTATATCAGTAGGTATTCCTGGAATCTTAACCTTCTTTATTTGCTGATATAACCTTGTATGGTCAACTTGGTTCTTCTTTGTATAAAGATGGACAAAGACGTCAGGTTTATTAGTACCTCCATTGCTGTAGTTCGTATCTTCATGTAAACGTGCTCTTTACATCTTTAAGAGATTGCAAGATTAAATGGTGACTCGTCATATTCGAAAGCCTTACATAGGTCGATAAATTCACATAAACACACATCTGTTTCCCTTTAGTGAGTTGTGTATTTGTATAGGTACAGAGGGTTGCATCTTGAGGAGATGTATTTTCTTTAACCCACATTGTTTTGTAGCTAAAATGTCAAAAGTGTAGGTACCTCTAGGTACACAAATGTTATTTTGACATTTGACGACAATAATTGGACGGTGATGTTCAATAAAGTCATCAGGTTTAGTTCGAGACGCCTAATAAAGTTAAGTAATTTTTGTTTATATATTTTATGCCGGTATTAACGTATTAAAATTGAATAAAAAGCTAATGTACTGCATTTATGCAACTTGTAATGTAAATTACATAACTGGTATGTCAACAAATTTGTTCTGTGCAACAAGTGTCATGTCATTTGTGTTCTGTCACTTTCGAATTAGTTGTGTTATGCCATAGAACTAGGATTGTTATCATAGGTTGTGTTTTGGGTTTTAACTTTAAGCTTCGTCAGTTAGTATTGTTTTTCCATGATCAGTTATTTGAGAAAAATGTTTTTTGTTCTTTGTAACATTTGAATACCACATGTTTTCATTAATTTAAAGTTGTTTCCTCAATTAAATATCACAGTACTGTATTTTCTGAAAGTTATTTCTCGTATATTTAGAATAAACCATACTTAACTATATTTGTATATTTTTCCTTTTAGCTTATTCTTCTTTTGGAGGTGCAAGTAAGTTAATCCGCCTTTTTCTACAAAATTTTATTTTGTAATGCTGGTTTAGAGTCTACCGATTTAATAATATCTTATTACCTCTTAGTATAAAAAATATCGCCTGGTTCAAAAAAGGACATTTATAAAAGCTACAAAGTATCGGTTAAAATTAATAAACTTCAGGAAGCCTTGCTGAAAATACCAATCCATTTCAAATAAATCTCTTTAGAATTAATTCTATCCTTATCGGTATTCTTTAAACCAGCAATATAATGAAGAGCTTGTGTCTGAAATGAATTCTGAGTTATATAAACCGCATAAATCTTTCATTGCATTCAAAAGCTCGCCATCAATCACTGATGACTCTGAAATAAACCACATGTTGTTTGTTCCAAGTCCTCTCTGAATGCGGGATAAAACATTTTATGCTTTAATGTAGTCTTATGGCCTAAATTAAGTTGTGAATATTTGATTCTGCTAAAATGTGAAATGAGTATGACTAAAATTTAATAGCTTGATGCACTTCCCTCCGACCGTCAATTTTAAAATACACGTAATAGAAGGAAATACATCGCTTTGGATATTTATAACTTAAAATGCAGCTGGTGTATGCCGGTTTTTTAATTGACCTGATACTGACGTATTTTCTTTTAATGTCAAAGTGATACTTCTGGTTAATACACAAAGGACCCGCAATAATCTTATGGAAATTGGGTTTCTGTCAAATTGTCTGAATTTTTGATGTTGTAGATTTTGTCATCCTGAACAAAAGTCTCCATGGACACAAAGTGCCAAAATAAATATTTTGGCAGCTACGGAGCTGCCAAAGCTCCCCTGACCCGTTGCAAAACTATTGATCTTCAATACTATTTACAGATGTCAAAAGCTTATTTTAATTATTCTAATATATAGGGTAATGTTTTTGAGGTTACTGGTTTCACCTCTTATGTCAGATTGGACAAATTGACCGTTGACAGCTGTCAATTCACTGTCAACGAGGAATACAAAAGTATATATCCTCTTTTCACATTGAGAGTTTGAGTTTTTGAGGTCGCTGAATTCAATTCTCATGTCAGATTGGACAAATTGACAGTTGACAGCTGTAATTTCACTGTCAACGAAGAATAGAGAAGTAAATATTATCTGTTGACATTGAGAGTTTAAGTTCTTGAGGTCGCTGAATTCAATTATCATACCAGATTGGAAAAATTGACAGTTGACAGCTGTCAATTCACTGTCAAAGTAGAATAAAGAAGAAAATATTCTCTTTTTACATTGAAAGTTTGGGTTTTTGAATAAACGAAGCCTCTCAAGAATCCAATGACTAGCGATGATCGAAATACATCAAATATTTGGGCATAATTATATTCCTTTCAAACATTGGTATTCTCTTGGTGAAGATTATCATACCTAGTTGACAGTTGTAAACTTACGGTGTCTTGAATTTTATGACTTACTTGGATTCAATGATCTAAAAAGTATAGAAATGTTGCAAATAGCAAGATTTAAGTTAAACGTATTTTAAAACCAACACTCATTGTAAATAGAGTTACAGTTGTAAACTATTATTTTCTCTGACTGTACATCAGCTTTGGATTTAGCAGGCTCAAAACAAA